TAGATAAAGGCTGTACCCACTCACATGGCCAAGGTTCCAAATCCATGCATCAACCTAGTCTGATAGGCAAATCAGAATAGAATAAAGAAAAGAAAGAGAAATAGAGAAGAAAAGAAAGAGATACAACATAAGATACAGATAAAATAAAAGAAAAGAAAGTTTTTTTCTTAGGAAAGTTTATTATTCTGCATATGTATTATGCTACTTACATGATTTAGTATTTCTTATGCGCTCGATGATGTACAGTTTTATTCATTGTCTTTGCACGTTGATAAGTAACAAATCAGAATATCAGAAAAGAATGCAGAATATTAGAAAGGAATGAAGAATATTAGCAAAGATTAAAGTGAGAAAATCAAAATCAAAACATGAGTAACGGAGGAAGAACAGTTGTGCAGTATGTTATTAAAGTACTAGATGAACAGTTTACTTACTGAGCAATTAGTGCTCACTCTGTTATTTTACTGTTTTGCAAGTACTAGATGATTTATGGTTGGGAGGGACGTTAAGAAGTGGAGGAGTTTGCCGACACTGTCCAAGACTACCTTGTACTTATTAAAGTATAACAGCTATTTTGTATATATATTTAAATGAATTAAAATTAGAATTTTTGGATTTTACATTATATACCTCTATGTATATATATGTTTACAAAGTTATTTAGTGGATTTTATCATATATTTCTCAAAGAATTACTGGCTAGAGAGTATATTACAAACTATATATAAAATTTTGCCAATGCTGATTATTGTGCAAGAAAAAAAATCTAAATTAAAGCTTACTCCATCAGAAATATGTAACAGTAAGTTTTAAACTTTAGACATATATTTACATAACAAATTATTACAGTTTGTTCATTTGTGTAACAATATCATTATCTTTGATATTTGTTTAAAGTTAGTGTTATTTCTATTGTCAATGGATTTGGAACCATTGAACTTTGGTGTACCATCTTATCATTGCAAGCATTGTGGGGACAATCATGTCGTATGAAGAGCGTACAATTAAGAGCATAAAGATTACTTCTCATGTATTTTCGTTATGCTGTATGGATGAGAAAGTTGAGTTACCACTGTTGAAAGAACCACATGAACTGTTGAAAGAATTATTAGATGTAAACAGTGGTTCTAAAGGAAAATATTCAGAAACAAGATAAGAATATACAACTTGATATTCTCATTTACATCAATGGGAGGGGACATTGATACTGATATCAATAGAAATATTGGTCCATATGTTTTCAGACTTTGTGGGAAAAATTATCACCGTATATGGACATTGCTTCCACCTGCTGGAAAGAAACCTACTTTTGCACAACTTTACATCCATGATACACATTATGAAATCAGTCACAAATTGAATTGTATGGGAAGGCAAGCAACTTATAATAGTGTTGACAAGGAATTGATCAAAGAATTGAAATTGATGCCTGACAGGAACAATGAGTTGGTTAAAAGTTTTCGGTTTGCCAGGGATTATATGGAATCAAATAATGTTCCTGAACTCCACTTGAAATTAAAAATCCAAAGAGAAAAAGATGGAAGACAGTATAATCTGCCAACTGCATCTATAATTGCAGGAATAATTGTTGGTGATGTTGGACTATCGGATGTTGGAAAGGATGTTATTGTTTATCATTCAAAGAATGGTTTACAGAGAATTACTGATTTACATCCCAGTTTTATGGCATTAGGTTATCCAATTTCGTTTCCTTACGGAGAGGATGGATACAGGGTTGACATTAAGCATAGAGAATCAGGCGATAGAGAATCTTCTACAAGGCATAAACTGACTATGAGATAGTTTTATGCCTTTCGATTGCAGTATATATTGAATGAAGGACACGCTTTGATGAAATGTGACAGACTATTGCAACAATACATTGTAGATGCATATATGGCTATTGAAGAGGAAATGTTTCGTTGGATAAGAAAAAATTAAAAAAAAATTAAGAAGTGATTTGTATAGCGGATTGATGGATGCTATTTCAAAAGGGGATGTTAATGCAGAGAATATAGGCAAGTGTACATTGCTACCGTCCTCTCACACTGGTAGCCCACGATATTGTATTCAAAATTATCAAGATGCTATGGCAATTTGTAGATATGATGGATATCCTAATATTTTTTTGACATTCACATGTAATCCAAAGTGGCCAGAGATACAATATATACAGAATGCTATTGGGCCATGTGATGAAGAAGGAAGAGTAATTACTATTTGTAGTGTTCGAAATGAAATTGCTTGAACTAATGAAAGAGATAAAGATTGATAAATATTTTGGTGAAACTATGGCAAGTAAGTTCTGTTATAAGTAATATGTATATTTTCTTTTAAACTATTTGTTCATTTATGATTTATAATATGAAATTTACAATATATCAACAATTACTGACAATATTCTATTATATTTCCTAGTTATTTATACTATTGAATTCCAGAAAAGAGGTCACCCACATGCGCATGTGTTGATTTTCCTCTGCGCTGAATATAAGAATCCTTCGTCATCGAAGATTGTTTGGATGATATTTGCTGAATTACCAGATAAAGAAAAAGATCCTCTTGCTTATGTAGTTGTTGGAAACTACAATATCCATGGTCCGTGTGGAAATTTAAATACAAGTTCACCCTGCATGGAGAACGGGAAATGCAAAAAAAATTTTCCAAAGAAATTTGTGAATGCAACAATTTTAGATGATGAAGGGTACCCAGTACATAGAAGCCGAGATACTAGAGCATTTATTGAGAAAAAAAAGGTGTCAAAATTGACAACCGTTTTGTTGTTCCTTATAATAGAAATCTGTCGGTTAAGTACGATGGTCACATAAACATTCAGATCTGTAACTAGCATAGATCAATCAAGTATCTATTCAAATATGTCAACAAAGGACCCGACAGAATCAAAGTTTCTATGGAGGTTGCAAAAAATAATGAAGGGAGTTCTGGATGCATGAATATTATAGGGGAGGATGAAATTAAAGCTTATGTCGATTGCAGGTAGGGGTGTTCAAAAAAATGCAAAGACCGAACCGAACCAAAAAACCGGTTCGGTTACGGTCCAAAAAATTCAAAAAACTGGATTTTCGGTTCGGTTATCGGTTCGGAAAAAAATAAAAAGCGGTTAACCGAAACTGGTTTTTGAACCGGTTTTACAAATATATATATATATATATTATATATTAAATAAAAAAATAATATAATATATTATATATTAAATAAAAAATAATAATATTTTTAATGTATTGTTAGTAGTGGTCAATGGATATGTATGAATGTTTAATTTTTATTTGGATATGTATTGTTTATATTTACAATTTAATTTAGGAAAAAATAAAAAAAAAGTTTTATAAAAAAAGGGAAAACCGGTTAACTGAAAAACTGGTTTTCCCTCCAAACCGGTTCGGGAATTTTTCCAAACCGAAAAACCGATTTGGTTCAAAAAAGTGGTTAACCGAACTTTTGAACACCCCTAATTGCAGGTATGTATATAGAAGAATAGAATATAATATATTTGTTGTTATTAGTTATAAATATAATATTGAAAAATGCAATTACTACATTTATAGATATATTTTTGCCATGGAGGCTTGCTGGAGAATATATCAATTTGACATGTACTATAGAGAACCAGCTGTTAAAAGACTTCCTTTCCACTTGGAGAATGAACAAACAATCGTCTTCGATCCAAATCAGAATTTAGTCAAATATTTGGAGAGCAATGTTCTTACTCAAACAAAATTAACAGAGTAGATGAAATGAAATCAACAATATGAAGAGGCAAGATCATTGACTTATTCTGACTTCCTAACAAAATGGGTTTGGAATGACAAAGAAAGGAAATGGAGTCAACGGGAAGGTGGAAGATGCATTGGTAGAATTTACTTTGCATTTCCAAGTAGTGGTGAAAAGTATTATCTACGGATGTTGTTAAATTTGGTTAGAGGAGCAACACCATTTGAAAATATCAGAACTGTTAATGGAAGGATATATCCTACATTCAAAGATGCATGTTATGCATTAGGCTTGCTGGATGATGACAGAGAATGGAAGGATTGCCTTGCTCAAGCATCAATATGGGCTACTAGAACACAGTTATGACAACTATTTGTAACAATTCTTTTATTTAATGAAGTCGTAAACCCAGCATAATTGTGGTGAGCAAATGCAGATTGACTATCTGAAGACATCGCATATAATCTCAGGAAAAAAACAAGAATGAGAACGATGAGATACAGTATGGACTAGTTACACAATCATGCATTGATTGAGATTGAAGACTTCATTAAAAAAGGAGGAAAAACAATGACTGATTTTCATGGATTGCCAATTCCAAATCACGCTCAATTTGAAAATACGTAGAATAAGTTGATTACTGAGGAGTTGAATTACGATATTGACAGCAATAAAACCTGCACAATGATTTATAGAGTGGTCTAAACAATGGACAGAGAGACATTTTCAATTCAATTATTGATTCAATTTATAATGAAAGAGGAACACCGTTTTTTGTTTACGGGCATGGTGGAACAGGCAAAACATTCCTATGGTCAACAATAATAGCAAAATTGTGGTTTGAAGGTAAAATTGTTCTCGTTGTTGCTACGTTAGGTATTGCTGCCTTGCTGTTACCAGGAGGAAGAACAACCCATTCACGTTTCAGGATACCTTTGGATGTAACTAAAGAGAGTACATGTGATATTAAGAAAAGAACGCAATTGACAAAACTGATTTTGACAACATCTTTGATAATTTAGGATGAAGCACCGATGGCAAATAGGTATTTCTTTGAAGCACCTGACAAATTTTTGAGGGACATTTTGTCTGATAAAGATCCATCAAATGCTAATAGAATATTTGGAGGCATAATTGTTGCATTGGGTGGAGACTTCAAATAGATTTTACCAGTTATACCAAAGGGGAAAAAATATGATGTGATGCAGGCATGTTTATTTTCATCTCCCCCCTGGAAACATGTCACCGTGTTGAAGCTAACATAAAATATGAGATTGAAAAAGAATTTCCAAAGTGATGCAGAATTGGATGAGTTAACAACTTTTGAAAGATGGTTATTGCAAATTAGTCAAGGAACAGGAATATCAGAAGATGAAAGCTTTATAGAAATTCCTGAAGATTTGAAACTTTTTCAACATAGAAATCGAAAAGAAAGAATTGTGAATGTTGTTTTCTTGAATCTATCTACTGAGATAGGCAATGTTGATTATATCAGAGAGAGGGCAATATTGACAGCCCGAAATGATACAGTACATGAATTGAACGACTACATTATTCAAAAATTGCAATCAAAATCGAAGACCTATTACAGTTCAGACAACACTTGCAAAGCAGCAGGGACTTCAAATAATGATGACATTTTATATCCAATAGAGTTCCTTAACTCTTTAATGTGCTATGGTATGCCAAAACATGAATTGCAATTAAAAATTGAAGTTCCAATTATGTTGCTACAAAATCTGAATCAATTAGATGGCCTTTGCAATGTCACGAGATTGATTGTGACTCATCTAGGGAAGTGGTGCATACAAGCAACAATGACTACCGGATCAAATATTGGTGATAATGTTGTGATTCCTAGAATAACAATTTCCAATGCAGATATGAAATGGCCTTTCAGACTGAAGAGAAGGCAATTACCAATTGCAGCTAGCTTCTGCATGACTATAAACAAAAGTCAGGGTCAATTGCTCAAAATGGTGGGATTGTATGTAAAACACCAAGGGTCCTTTGGTTCATTATTCTGATACTTTTTAGAATAATATTTTGAAAAAAGTTAAACTGAGTGGGTATTACGATGTAGAATTTGGAAATTAAAAAAAATGCCCTTTATGTTTGTTTATTTACTAAACACTCCTATAATAAAATATTAAAAGTTAACAAAAATACCCCTAACCCACCCATTAAATACGGACAGCCAGCAATCACTAGCGGAGGGTGGCCGGAGTCGTCGTATCGACGCATGACCGGCTGGATCTTGCCGGTTGTGTGCTGATATGGCCTTTTCCAGCCAGATCCGCGGTGGATTTGGTCGAAAAAGGCTAGATCTGGCCATTGACGGTCAGATTTGGCCGCATTTGGTCGTCAACGACGGCAAAAGATATGGCCACCATTGATGCTCAACGATGACCATATCTTGGTCGTTGTTGACGACTGGCTACAGCCACGGCCAGATCTTTTGCCATAGATCTGGCCTTTTTCTGGCCAGATCCACCGTGGATCTAGTTGGAAAGGCTAGATCGACATACTATCTGCCAGATTCAGTCAGTAGTACGCCATTATACCAGATTCCAGCCAGTTTTCGACAGTGGTGGTCAAAATCTGGTAAATGTGGGTTGTTGGGGGTGTTTTTGCAATTCCTAAAAAAAATTTAGGGGTGTTTAGTTAAATTAAAAAATTTAGGGGAGTTTAAAAGAAATTGAATAATATAGAACAATATTTTTAGAATAAGCTAATTTTACTGTTTAACTTTATTGGGAAAAACCAGAATAATATTCCCAAGAGTGTAACAAATGGAGCCCAAGTATTTACCCATTGACAATTATATGTCGCCTTATCAAGAGTAACTTCGAGAAAAGGTATCAAATCTTATTAGTCCAACAACAAGATGAACTAGGAGAAAAGTTGCGAAATATTGTTTTCAAAGAAGTGTTTCATAGGATAGAAAATTAGATATGATACTGATTCTATAACAATGCAAAGTTTCAAATACAAAATATTTGTCAAATATTTCACAACACCATTATACTGTTTCATTATTTGTACAAGTAATATTGCATGGTGTAGATACATTTTCAGTAGCATTATCATTAGTACAAACTTCATTAGAAGGATTCTGCCGTTTCTTCAACACAACTTTTTCAAAAAATTCAGAGTTTTCATTTGGAAATTTTGACTTGAAAGCATCTGCACATGTTTTTTTGGTGGCCATAAACATGTCTACCACCAAATCTTCGGCTTCATTCTTCTCTTTCTCAGCTTTGACAACCAAAGATTGGATTTTTCTATTCTCATTAGACAATTCGTTCAATCTTTTTATCACAACTTCCTTTCCTTTTTGTTGATTTTCAATAGATTGTTCAATAGATTTAAATGCTTTGTGAAGATGTTTCAAGTTATCTTCAACTTTATCTACCCTCTCTTTCAAAACCTTTCCTTCTTCTAATTTTTGTTTGTCAGAATTCAGAACTTCGATCTCTTTTTGCAATTTTGAAATAACATGCTCCGCTGCCAGCCAACGCTCCCAAGCTTCTTGCCAAAGTTCAAAACCCTATTGCAAAAATACAAGGGAAGAAGATAAAATCTCAACGAGACACGTTTTAAAAAAGTACAAACTTAACTGACCATTAAATTGTTCCAAAAAAATAATACCTGACTACCAACAAAAGATATCTTATTATCTAATTCTTCCGTCGATAGTGATCTATATTTCCTCTCATTCTTTATATTCTCACTCTCCAGCTGAGATGTTTTTTGTCGCTTTATAAACCTACATAATGGAACCTCTTTTATTGCATCATGTTTCTCTTCAATATATAACTTCAACATGACATGAACAAGAAGGGGATACAATAGGATTAGGCACTGATACAGATGAAACAGAACTCTGTAATTGATTTATCAACTTCATTGTTATGGCAATGCTTGGTCTTGTATTAGATGCTGATTTGGCCTCGACTCTATCTATAAACTTCAGCAATTTTTCAGAAGCCATATCTAAAATTTTCAAAGCACACTTCATGACTTATAAAAAAAAAAAAAAAATAGAATCATCAGTCAACCTAAAAAACAATATTTCCAAACTTCCTAAAATCGTTAGCAAAGAAAAATAATAGTAAAAAAATTTATTCGTGCCTTCTTAAAAAAGTGCATTAACAAATACTACAACAAACCAACAAGACAAATCATAAACAAAATTTTAGACAATCATGAGTTCAAAGTGATTACAAACCATTCAAATATGGAAATTCATCACTAATTTTGATTTGGATATTCTATTATACAGATTGTGTGTAAATGCATATCCAAATAAACAAAGAAATAAATTTTACCACTGTAAAGTTGTGCAAACTAATAGGATTTTTGACGAAACTGTTCAACATTATCAATTTGCTTGAAATTACAACAACAAATCCGGTGTGATGGAAACATAAATATATATGTTAGGGTTAGAGAGTTTGAATCAGGCTGACAAAATACTCTTAAGCAATAAAATGTCCTTAAAAGTAATAAACATATTGAACGACAACATTTAAACAACATATAAATTTTATCAATCTAAACGACGTCGCACATCAGAATAATAATGGCAGTGTTTTTATCATTAAATAATAATTCCTTTAAAACAGAATAACAATAACTGCATATTTTATTTTAAACTTAATGAATACACATGGTATACTAATAATTTCACTGAATAATTTATCACATGAACAATTATAAATTCTTGAAATCCAATTGCCACAGAAAAATATAAAATAAAATAAACATGATTACCACTAATTAAATATAATAATTAGTGAAAAATATAATATCTTATGAAAATGTTGTCTGATTTTCTTTTCATCTTTCATTACAATAACATTAGATTCAAATTCGAATAAAAACTTAGTGATTTTAAACAAACATTACTTTTATAATAATTAAAAATACTAATTATAATTTAAATATAAATTGTTAACATTTATTTGGTTTTAAATTTGATATAATATCAATGACTGTTGTCTTTCACAATTTCCAAACAGTTTTTGCACACTCTTCAATCGACCAATTTATTTATTATGATACGTCTATTCGTTTTCTAACTGTTTGGTTTCCATATACATTAAAATGATACTTTCATGCTTATATATATGACGATTACTAAAACTTGATCTATATAATAATATAATTTTTTTTTTATAGTCTAATTATCTGCTCAAGCTTTGTTCATGTTTTTTAAAATGGCAGATAAAGGCAAGAAGAAAGCAGACGAAAATATTTCAAGTTTTTCAACAAAAAAACAAAAAGGTAAGAAACGAATCCGTTTGCATTGATAATGTTTCTCTGAATTAAAGTATCAAGAATTTTTTATTTGTAATATTTTGTAAATTGATACAATTCCATGAATTTCGTTTTTTGTTAGTTGGTTCACCGCTGAATAAAAAGGACGAACTGAAAAACTTGAAGCAACTTCTGCAGAAAGTCCAGAAAAATCTGGATGATTTAAATGCAGCAAGACTCGATCTAAAAGATGTTACCAATGAAATGGGTAACATCATGGATTCTGGCATGGGCATTGTCTCTGATCTAAATAAACCGGGAGAGTTTGGCTGCTAAAGAGGAATTGAAAATTCTTAAACAGAAAGTTCAAGATCTTTTCTCTACATCATCCAAACATACCTGATAGTAAAAAATGATGATGTAATCATGTTTACAATACATATATAATAAATAAAATTCTTTTTCAATTGTCACATTGTCAAATGTTTAACTGATTAAAAAGTTTATTATAACATGTTCTAAATAATTTTTGTTAGATACAATATCAAACGTTAAAATACTATAAAAAAAGTAATTGATATTGTTCATCAATGGTAGTAACTAATAAAAAACAGAATGAGCAATGTTTAATTATATCAAACAATTAATCAAGCAATGCCATGAAGAGATGAATGACAAGAAGGGAAAATAGACAAATAAATTTTACAAAAGAGAGACATAACATTTGCTCATAAAATATTATAAAATACCTAATAGCATTTTTTCTGTAAAAATTGATTGTCAAACTGGAATTCATTTTCGAATACCAACTGTTAAATTTTAAGTGTTGTAAACTTTATTGTTAAAAAAAATATGACTCATTTGCAACAATATTCAACAATATTCAACTATTGGCGAACAGTTTTGAATTAATAATTGTACTTTCAAACCCATTGACAATAGTTATTAATAAGTTTTCTAAACATTTTCGAATTTATACACTTACTATATAATTATAGGATAAATCTATCCTTACAAAGAAGTTTACAAAGTAGCTTACAAAGTGAAGGAAAAAACAAAAGAAAAACGGAAAAAGAGAAAGAGAGAGAGAGAAATGATGAAGATGAAGGGTGGAGATTAACTTTGTATGCCTCCTTTGTAGGCTTCTTTGGTAAGATATGCAACCTCCCAATAATTTAACCCGATTTACTCATGCTCTGCGTTCGAAAAACGACATGTTGTGGCTTGCATCTACATCCATAACTGTGGTTTGTGGCCAAACCATTTGTGTATAGTCTTTCTCAAATATTTTAGTAATTGTGTTTGTTTAATATCCATAACATAACCACATCGAAAATACAAACCATTTAAATCTTAAGTAATTATCCTCTATGATATTTAAAAACATAACAATATGCATATGTTTTCCTTTGATTTTTTAACAATCTTTGCATAATATGCCTTGTTTATTTTTTTAAAACAGAATCTATTAATCATCATGACTTTTACACTCCCATTTATACAATAGTCGTTTAAATCGTTTTTAAAATACTCATGAACCTTTTATTATATACACACAATACCTATTGGGTCCCCAACATGTTCATATTCTATCTTCATTTAAACGTCTTCCTCATGTTAATATCTATATAAGAGATAAGTAAAATTATTCTTTTTTTGCCTCTTACACAAACTTGATTTCTTTTATCTCCTGTCTTATCTCACATAGTTGAGTTTGACGAAAACATCAAAAGATACAATTGAGCCCGAAAACAAGAATTCACAT